GTTCGCTCACCTCTCGATCCTGTCACAGCTCTCTGCCGTGACAGGGGAGGGACTCGATTCCCCCTCCCCTCTCCGATCCTCCAGCGCTGACTGGCGGATCGGACGGGGAGGGGGCGGGTACAGCTGGCTCTGGCTCTAGATAGGCAGAGCCAGCTGTCACTCACGCAGCTGGGCGGATCCAGACATAATTGTCGGGATCCACTTCAGCTGCGGCATCTCAGTATACCGCTAGCAGTAGCTCGCGGTATACTGTGGCGTCTTAATATCCGCTTCAGCTGTGGCGTCTCAGTATACCGCAAGCAGTAGCTCGCGGTATACTGTGGCGTCTCAGTATACAGCGAGTCGTAGCTCGCGGTATACTGAGCTTAGGATGACAGGAGGACGCTAGTTTGTGTCCTCCTTTACCCTAAGGAGAACTATGGGGAAAAGCCTAAACCCCATAGTTCTCCTTTAACAATATTGTCAATTCCAGTATGGTGTGCAGCAGGATTATGCTCCTTGATGCCAAAAAGGACAGTTCCTCCAAATGAGGGATAGGTGGGAGCTATGCACATAACTGCTTTTAGGCATGTGACTGTGTTGCAAAAAAAAAAGGTGTGGGGGCACCTTGCAACCACATAGAGAAGAGGGTTGGGTCAGGTCTCTGGTGATTAAGAGAAAGTAAGCAAAGCAGAAATTAAGGAGTAAAAAATTAAGTCCTTTCATTTAGAGTGAGTTGACATGGTTGCATCGGGAAAGCAAATTTAATGTTGAGTACCATATGGATGGAAAGACATAGATAGATAGATAGATAGATAGATAGATAGATAGATAGATAGATAGATAGATAGATAATTATGACCCTTAGCGTAGGCACTGTATCTGAGCATACATTGTAGAAGAAGAATATATACGGTACTGTATATTCGATATAAATATACACTCACACATAAACACGTGTTAAATCAGCTGTTGGAGTATATCTACATTTCCATGGAAACAGAGCAGCAGACGGCACAGTTGTAGCACAACCTGCTGTTAAAAGGGCAGCCCAGCAATCTGTGACAGGAAATGTTCCATTTTGTATACCGGCACAGAGATGACACCAGCCAGCTCTGACTACAAGCGGAATGACAGAAGTTACCCTGCGGTTTTTTGTTTTTTTTACCTCAGAAAAATGAGAGGCTTGAAATGTAGCAAGTGAAGAAAAAATTTAGCTGTAGATTTGTTAATAAAAAGCTGATATCAACACAGTTAGTTTATAAGAATGTGTATGTCACATTGTCTGCATAAGAAGGAAGGTGCAGTTAGGTTTATAACAAAAGAACCATGGAAAATTCCAGCACTCAAGTCTGCTAGTCAGTAAATGTTTAAATATAGCTGTACCTTTTAATAAAAACCCTGCATGACTATACATATAACACAATAGGTTGATGGCACTGTGCAGTGCGGTATATTGTCTGATTGTATTGCACTGCTGCTCATTCCAGCCATTCCAGTCTCATCTCTTCAGGGCGTGAATGCATTATATAAAAAGCACATTATTGCAATGAGCAGCAACACAACATGCATGCGTTGGTGCCTTGTATTGCCATTCTTTTTTAATGGCACCCAGCGACCACTAGAATTCACATGTGCTGCAAAGTACTGCAGCGGCACACAACGTGTTGCAGTGTGCTGGAAAAATACCCAGTATGCACTACATTTTCATTCGTTGAGGTGTATTACATCTCCTACAGCTACATTGAATGGACTGCCTAACGCAATGTGCTAAAAGAAAAGAAGGGAACAAAAAAGCACCACAACATAGTGCAATATGTTATAGAATGGACCAAAAATGAGAAAAGTGACTAAGTTGTACTTACAAAACATGTGAGTAATGTGAGCTTGTCTAGTGATCTTTCCAGGATCTCTTATGACATATGCAAAGATACAGTAGCATTGGAATTGATACAACTTAACTTTTAGAGAGTCACCAGATTGCCAGCCGGGGACTGTCATCCTGCCCTCGGCTGGCAAGTTGGTGAATCGCTAGAAGTTACATTGCATCAATTCCAATGCTACTGGAAAGATCACTAGACAACTACTCACATGTTTTGGAAGCACAACTTAGTCAATTTTCAAATTGTTGGTCCATTCTGTAACATATTGCACTAGGTTGTGGCGCTTTTTTATTCCCTTCTCTTCTTTTACAGCTGCAGTTCTGGTTACCTTCATCTGTGAACTCAAGCAGCACACCTAGTCCCCCTCATTTCATTACCCCATCTCTGACCAACTGTTTTTCCCCATTCCTCCCGCAATGTGGACACCCGGTCAGTGCTTTGGTTCCCCTCCATCCATTTCTGTAAAGCAATGTGCTGCAACTCACTGCAATGCGTAGGATTTTAACAAGAACAACACAACTGTGTTGTGGTGCAGTGCGTTGTGGAGCAAACCAACTCCAAAACTTTTGTGTAGGTATTTTTGTTATGCAGAATGTACCGTGTCTTACTATCAGGTCCTGAGTATTGCTGAGTAGGAACTCACTGACCACCAATGTAAGGAACATTCTTCCTATAATAAAGGTTTCTTACAAAGGAAAGACAGGGAAACCTGTTATTTCATTTTACTGTAGATCACCCCTTCAGAGCCACGGGTACTGTTATCCTGTTGGAATAGCACTGACCGAGGAAGGGGGTGCTACAGTAATGTCCCCACCAGCCATATGTCAGTGCTGGAGTTGATAGGGAGAACTGACAGTCAGTTTGATTAAAGAGATAACGTTGCTCCTATACAGTACTCTACAGTGTTGTACTGTGCTACACTACTTTCAATTGCAGTGTGGTGGGCTACATATTATTGTGTCCTTTCTATGACTACCCTTTTGTACAGTTTCTGTTTAGCTGCTGAGCCCCCTTGCAGTTTTTTGGTGGGTGTTTTACTGTTTTTTAATTTTACAATTTATGGGAGGGTGATCTAATTATTTTAATTTTGCAAGGGACTTTTTTTTATGTTTTGAGGTCAGCAACATGAACCTGTGACTGACACAGGCAAATCTGCCCTTTGCAACATGTTACAACATATTTGTGGTGCATGAAAGAAGTGGTCATTTGGTGTTCAAAATGTTGGGTATTTCTTATTCATTCTCCTCCTATTTTGCTTATCCCGCCATAGCCCTGTAAACTGGCATGGAGAAGTTGGTGGAGCACAATCAGTCACTTGCTGTAGGAACATGCACAAGAACAGCAGTGATAGAGCATTTCATCCTGGGGCAGGGGTAGCTTGTAGAGGTCTGGAGGGAGCAGCTGTCCTATTCTACCTGATGGCACTGTCCCACGGGTATTAGTCAGTACTATCACCAGGACCGTGCACAGAGCTCGGCCATCAGTGCCTTTTTGTAAAAAAGCGGCTGCTAACAGCACAGTTGTGGTCTGCAGCCTCTGACTGCAGGTCGTTAGTTATTGTAAAACTACAAGTCATTTGCATACCACATGCATAAGGAGACACATGAATTTGCACCACAAAGCTCAGTGGGAGCAGTATCTTAATGATACCTGTCACCAGCAAAAGCCCCTTGCTGCAACAACCACAGCCTCAAGAAATAGGGAGGATCTCACAACACGCATATCAAGCAGGGAAGAGGGCCACTATGGGGCCATGTTAAGTAGGGCCAAGTCTCATAACCCCACCCTACCATCTTCAGCAGCATACTTGACCAGGCAGCTTCTTCTGCAGATGCTGAAGCAGAAAAAAAGTCCCCTAATCACCTCTTTGTACGGTGGCTGTATATGTCTCCTTTTGCACAGGTAACTACTTAGGAAGTTATCGCTCACAAGCCTTTTGGTACAATCAACAGGTACTTTTTGCACTTAACGCACAGATACAACAAAACGCATACAATGGCATATTTAGCAGATAAAGGGAGCAAATAAGATAAGTTCATTGTTAGAGTTTACATACAATTTGGGTGACCTTCTGCAATACCGATTTTTACAAGGGATGCACCAATACCGTTTTTTCGGTGCTTCCGCTACTATGGAGCCCGCTTCCTGGGCAATCAGGAAGCTGGGTGGCATTCCTTATCCGCCGCCCAACTTCTTGATTACCCGGGAAGGTGGCTCCATGCTGTTTGGCCGGCTCCATGCTGATTGGCTGGAAAACCGGCTTCCCGGCCACTAAGCATTCCGGTCAGAGGAAATCTCCCTCTGACCGGAAGTTCCAGTATCGGGCGTAAGTATCGGAGCATTTGGGTGAGTACGAATACTCGCCCAAATACTCAGTATCAGCACCGATACCAATACTAGTATCAGTATCGGTGCATCCCTACTTTTTACTAATAATACTAATGTAATACTAATTTAATGTCCTAAAAAGTGTCTTTTGACATGGAGAAGTATGTTTGATATGCTCAAAGTACTGATGACCTATCTGTTTCAGAAATGATACAAACATGTCCAAGGGAAATTTGCTAAGTTACTTTATACTTTACTCATGTTTTTGTAAAATCTGTCCTTTATAAGTAGAGGTTTGTTTGGTTTAGATCATTTCTGACAACAAAGAAATGTTTTGTCTTACCCCAAAATATAACAAAGCGATTTAAAACTGATATAAAACACAAATTAATGCAGCTGTGTGCATAATTAAATGCATGTTAATGCAGTGTAAGTACCTGAATCTGACCTGATCTCAGCCTCTTGAATTCCCTCTACAGCAGAGCTGGACTGTGAGAGGAAGAAGCAGCACACGGTGAAACTCAGTTATTTTGCTGTAAAGAAGCTTGCTGAAGGGGGAGAAGAAAACTAAGGGGCAGAGTGTGCTGCTTCTGCTTTCATTGTCCAGTCACAGGCTGGGGTGGGTCCAGGGTGACTTGATCTCTACCTTGATCTCTACCTGAAGATATCTGGAAGCAGAAAAAAAGTACTACATGGGAAATCTCTGTATTGAAAATGAATATCGCAAAAAAAGCTTGTTTTGCTATTTTATCTTGTATCATGTATTTTGCTAGAGTTCTGCTTTAACTGATTCATATCTCTTATCTACAGCCCATCACTCCTGACCTTTTGATGACCCCCAGTGATCGTGATGATGCAGAGCTGGACATAGAATACCCTGAAGAGAGAGGGAACTGGACAGGAAAGTTGGATTTCCTACTATCGTGTATTGGATACTGTGTTGGCTTGGGAAATGTCTGGAGGTTTCCATATAGAGCATACACAAATGGAGGAGGTAATGTTCACATTCATTAGTTCATGGAACAGCTGCAAGGGTAGTTTTTTCTACTTGGAGTTGGGCTTTAAATTGAAAAGATGTCAACTGAGAACTCAGTGGCTGTTCTGCATAACAACAAAACCTGTATTTAAAGAAGAACTCCGGGCAAACTTTTTCTTAACCCTTGCAGTGAGGCTACCCCTACACTGCAAGAGTTAGGTGCTCAATTTTGTCTAGGTGCAAAAATATATATAAAGATATACTCACATAATCCTCGCAGCTGGCATACTGGTCCCTGGGGCCTTTTGCTGCAGCAGTCTAAGGGCCAGGAGTCATCACGTTCTACACACTATGCATAGGACCATCCTATACACTGCGTATAGGATGTGAGGATGTCGAGGGACATACCATCGGAGCGAAGGAGGTGACAGGCTGGAGGGAGTGCTGTAACAGCTCAGAGGATCAGGCGAGAACAACTTTGTTTTTTTCCTTCCTAGACCGAAAGAGTACCTAACTTTTGCAGCGCTGGGGTAGCCCCACTGCAAGGGTTAAAGGAGAACTATGGGATCAGGGCTTTTCCCCATAGTTCTCCTAATGGTAACGGGAGCACACAAACTAGCGTCCTCCCGTCACCCAAAGCTCAGTATGTACTGAGACGCCGCAGCTGGGATTACTGTCTGGATCCACCCAGCTGCGTGAGTGACAGCTGGCTCTGCCTATCTAGAGGCAGAGCCAGCTGTACCCGACCCCTCCCCCGTCCGTTCTGCCAGTCAGCGCTGGAGGATCGGACAGGGGGGGGGGGCGGAATCCCTGCTGGGAGCCGTGAGTGATAGTCACGGCTCTCTGCAGGGACAGGATCGAGAAGTGAGCGAGCGGCGGTATGTGTTCGCTCACTTCCCGATCTACTGAGCAGACCTGTGGCAGTTTCATTGTCACATGTCAGCTCGAACTATGAGGATGAGTGATTTTCACTCGCCTCGTAGTTCTCCTTTAAAAAACAAATTTGCCCAAAGTTCTTTTTTAACTTTTTAAAAAAGATTCTGTTCCCCAAATTGCATTTCTTTAGTTTATCATCCCTTCCAGATATAACATTTTCGGAGAAGTTTGACGGTTTGGATAGACAGTTACTAATTACAAATCGCTGATCAAGGCCATTTTCATATGATGCATTGCAGAGATTTCTGCTGTTACTATGGGGAGAAAAATCAAGAATAAAGAATGAGTTCTCATGAATACCGGCATCTATACAAAACACCTATTGTGTTCAGAATTTACAGTGATTATGTACAGCTATTTTCACTCAATTACCATCGCCACTGGATAAATGTGGAAGGCTGAAATCAGCTTCAAGGACCTCATGTTCTAGGAAATTGCTCAGAGTGGAATTGATTGGGGTGGTCAGATTAAGTACACCTGTGTATACTCTCTGCATGAATAAATTCCTGACATGTTGAAATATACTGTACAGTACAGCATAATTTCCCAAATAAGATATACCTTTATTATTCAGTCTTTGAGCACCAATCAGTTGACTGCCTAGGCAGCAATGACACCATAAATCTGCTGCAGGCAGAAGGAAACATTTCCTTCCGTCTTCCCCCCCAAGATCAGATTACAACATTTTTTACTTTTTAGCCACAAGTTACAGGAAGTAGATGCCGAGCCTGAATGGTGCTTGAGCAAAGACTTCTCCATTCTTCTAGAGATAAAAAGTATATGGATCCATTGTCAGGAAGAAGACTGGATCAGAGAGAGGTAATACATACTTGTAAGTGTTATACTTACAGAGTACTGAGCATGCATGTAGTATACATAGAAAATATATCCGATGATAGTTCCACTTTAAATAGGTGCATTGGCTGCAGGGAATTCTGTAGACACTAAGCAGAAGGGTTGGGGATCTTCCTGAAGGCAGCAAGGATAGGGTTTGTGCTACAGCATTATTCCAACACAAGCAATACTTCAACTGGCCATTGTTTACAACGCTGAATGAAGCTATCATAGATGTTTCTATACACAAAGTAATATAAATACAAGTTCTCTAAAATGGTATTGTATATCATTTTTTTTAATTAATATTTTAAAAACTTCACAATATATTGACTAAAGCTAGACAACAGTTTCCATATCCAGTCTTTAGGTAATATTTCCTTTTCTATAGGCCTTGCTTATCATCCATGGCCAACTACTCTTGGGAACAATTGATCACCTAGCTGAGCATTCCTCAGCAAAAGGTTATTACTCCTTGAGCTGTCAAGTTCCTTGAGCTTGACCTGCCAGCAATGTTGCCTGATCCCCATTTCCATGAACATACACACAGCTCAGTCTGATCTTGGTGTTAGAGACTATGTTTGTACATCTGACCTCCCTCAGAGGTTACCTTAAAGTTTATGTTCACTGTCACCCAGAGAAACCTCCACCACCTCGACCTTTCTGTTCTCTACTCTGCTACTGACTCCCTCTTTGACAAAATCTCACCCCTGTCCTGCCCTGACCTGGCTACTTCTGTTTTTAACAACTCACTCTCATCCTCCCTAGACACCTTGGCTCCCCTCACAACACGCAGACTTAGACCACGCCCGCTACAACCGTGGCAAACTGAAGTTACCAAACATCAAAAAAGACAAAGCCG